ACTCATTTTAGAAGGTACACAAAAATATGACCAAGTTTTCTAACTACAAATTTCAACTTGAGTGAAGTAGAAAGTGTGTTTGGTTGGAATTAGAAATATTATATCCTATGATTCGAAACAACAACAAAATTTATAGACAACAAACCTATAACCACATATTTTTAACATACCCAAAAATATTATCATCAAGAAGTAATGCTAATTTGCATAAATTGCGTTAACAGGTTGATATTTCAAATGCTATGCGGTTAAAAAGTATTTTCATTTACGTTCACACATACTTTATTATTTATTAGACAACTGGTAACACTTTTTGCAGCTCTGTAAGGTTATAAATTAGCCTAATTAGTTTCTTACAGTGAATCACGAAGTCAAATGACATAATTTGTTATATTTTTTGAAAGCTTATTTCATTTTTACCGAAATTATTTAGTATTCGGTGTTCAGAATGATTCAGATTTATTGACCATGAAAGAAAAAGAGCCAATGAGGATCGTCTGCATTAAGGGAGAATAGGATTGCTTGCATGCACATCAGATTCTGCCATTAATAATTCGCAACGTAGACTTCTTGCGCCTAGAAAAGTTGGTTAAAAAATATTCATCGCGTTTACATTGGCATGCGCTGATAAAGTCAATCACTAATAAAAAATTATTTGCTAAAAAAATTTTTTTTATTGGATAATCAACGTAATCAACAAGATTTGCTTATGTTTCATCATATCAGGATGGTGAGCTCCGAACTAAAGACTTTGGCGCTGCTGCTGCTGCTGGCAGGTCCTCTACTCGCTCGTCGGGAAGGCGCCGGTGAGGAACGATTGTTTTTATGGTTCACTTCACCACATGCAGAGTAAATGACGAAATATATTATTATTCCAGAAATATTATTTTGATCGCTGTCTTCCTATTTGAAATTATGATAAAAATTAAGAAAATTGTCTCGACGGATTCTCGGTAGATTTGTGGAACGACCACAGCTTACAACACGAAAATACGAGGCGTGTTGTACGAGTAAATAGCATTTTTAAATTATACCGCCATAGTGCGGCGGCCGCTGATTAGCGCACTTGCACCAAGACCATGCACGTAGCTTCATCTGTTGCACGTAGCTTCATCTGTTGCACGTAGCTTCATCTGTTGCACGTAGCTTCATCACGATGTACGTAGCTTCATCACGATGCACGTAGTTTCATCACGATGCACATAGCTTCATCACGATGCACGTAGCTTCATCTGTTGCACGTAGCTTCATCACGATGCACGTAGCTTCATCTGTTGCTCGTAGCTTCTTCACGATGCACGTAGCTTCATCACGATGCACGTAGCTTCATCTGTTGCTCGTAGCTTCATCACGATGCACGTAGCTTCATCTGTTGTACGTAGCTTCATCACGATGCACGTAGCTTCATCACGATGCACGTAGCTTCATCTAGATGCACGTAGCTTCATCTAGATGCACGTAGCTTCATATAGATGCACGTAGCTTCATCTGTTGGGAAGCCACACAAGCCATTACGGAGCCATCCAATCGAGTCTACATTTGTTTACGTGACTTAAAATGCTTCTAACTAATGAAACTCTTGCTGACTGTGGAGTGCGTATATTTCGCTGTGCTCAAGTCTTTAAATCCGTTGAAATTCGTCGCCAAGTCAGTGATGTGTATAGTGAAAACATTATGAGTAATGGAATGGTGCGGTAATTGGTTAGGGCGTTTAAATATGGCGGCACAAACATTCATGATGAGGAACGAAGTGGGAGACCTTCAATTAGTACCGAAGGTCCCAATTAACAAGTGGAATGCAAAGAGAAAGAGAACAGACCATTCAAAAAATCCTCCTTAGCTTAAAAGTCCTCGGCCGTCTTTAGAAATGTTCTTTACTAATTTGCCAAATCAGTTTGTTTAATCAGGTGGTGAGCTTCTTTGACGATGGCACACAAAAGTTGGTGCCAACATACAATAATACCTCACTATTAATGGGAATTACGTAGAAATGTAAAGTACAGTATTTCTTTTCAATTGAATAAATTATTTCTGCAGAAATATACTTGTTTTTTTTTTCATGTCAAAGCATTACTTTAAGAACACACCTCCCAATTGTAAGGATCGTGCAGAATTTACCCTGTTATACGTCTAACATTTATGTCAATATTATTTTAAGTAATGTTTTTCACGACTCTAATCTGTTACTATTTAAGGAACATTTGTGCCAATATTAACTTAAATAATATTTTTTCTGTTACAATTAAAGGCGTAGCATCATTCCCTCAACCCCACGGCATGACGACTGACTCGGTGCTGAGGTACATGGGACCAGCCGTCCCCACCACGTCGCAGCTGACGATCTGTACGCGCGTGCATGTCCTGCTAGCGCGTCCAGACTCCACCCTGTTATCCTACGCAGTGGCGGACTACGATAACGAGCTCTGGATTGGTAAGGTTCTTGGTTGGAATTTAGAAAAAAAATCCGGTTCAGCCTGAAAAATTAATGGGTCATATTTTCTAGTTTCCTAAGTTTATAACGTGCCCTCAAGAATTTTGTGCAAGATTTCACGGTAATCTCAGTATAATAATAATAACGCTGATAATAATAATAATATGAATAATAACAATAATAATAATAGTAATAATATTGATAATGATAATAATATTAATAACGATATTAATAATAATATTGTCAAAGTACTGACTTGCTTACTGCACGTGGCCGGCTGTACCATGAGACGGAATAGTTGGAATAGAAAAACGGCGACAAGGTGTTTTTTCAGGTACCGCCCGGCCACCGTAATGCTGGTCAAACCGTTTAACGGTGTTTTTTTAGAACAGTGTATAAAGTAGAACCTATTCTTCCACAGGAATCGACATTGAAAACGCAAAACTTCATGTAAGCTGTTGCCACAGCAGCTTTAGTTTAACCCTCAAGCTCGACATTACGCTGCGGCAATGGTTTTCTTTCTGTTTCGTCATGAGCGGCGATCACAAGAACTACACGGTGGTTGTGGATGGCAATGTTATGGTGCGCGATACTTGGAACTCTGCTAACGACAGTCAGATGCATGTGGTTGGAGGCGGTGTCCTGGTCTTTGGACAAGAACAAGATAATCTAGGAGGTTTATTTGACCCACTCGAAAGCTTCAATGGAAACATAGCAGATTTTCGCTGGTATTCGTGCGTTCTTGGAGAAGAAACTTTGAAGCGTTGGACATCCGGCGTCGGCGTTGAATTTCAAGAAGCATCGGACGTTTCATTTGATGATTTCAATATTTTTTCTGCTAAAAATGTCGACATATACTACGAAACTCAAGCGAATAATTTCTTCAATAAAATTATCCCTTTCGAAAGGATTTTTTTAAATTTGCTTACTCACGCAGAGAGTGAACTACTATGCACAGGCACTGGTGGAAGTTTACCTAGTATTCATTCATCTGTTGAAAATACCGAACTTTTCTCCTATGTTTCATCTTTCGATGAAATTTGTCAGGGCAACTATAAAAAATGGGACATCATCTGGCTGAATCACATCATCGATGGCAAAGGCACAGTTCGTGATAAAAGGAATGGAATGATAAGTAATTTCACTTACTTCTTGAAGCCAGTGGAAGAAAGCACTCCAAAGGATCCTATTTGCATAACACTTTACGCTTGCAATAAAAAATCTCGTTCATTCCTCGCGCGCTGGTTCCCGACTGCATGCAATAATCGCCGATTGCCTGTTTGTTCATATTATAGGTTTCCGCTCCTTAGGCTCATCGGGCTGTGTCAAGAAACCCAATTTGATCAGAAATTCTTCATCGAAGACAAGGCTTTAAATCCGAATCTTATTGGCCTCTATCAATCCAGAATTGATAGAATAAAAGTGAATGACTCTGAATCCCATTTCTTGTTTGAACTTCACAACATTGGGAAATCTCGTGCTAAGGCTACCTTGAAGCTACCGGTAACATCGCCGTTCCCGACAGGGAGACACATATGGACAATAACAGGTGACAGCTGTCGACCAGGTGACGTAACACTGGTGCTGACAGCTTGTGAAGAAAATCAGTTTACCTGCAATGATGGAACCTGCTTGAGTCAGAAACAAAGATGTGATTTCGAGATTCAGTGTTCGGATGGTTCTGACGAACGTAACTGCAATATCCTACAACTTCCAGAAAAGGGCTACTTTTCTCACTTGCCACCACCTCGCATGATTGGCAGAGGGCTCGAAATTGAAGGGAAAGTTAGCCTCTGGAGGATTATAGGAATTGACTTGGATCTATCAACACTGAAATTAGACTTGCATGTCACCCTGTCCTGGCGAGATTCTGGCATAACCTTCACGAACTTGAAGGAAAATTACAAAGAAAACATAATAGATTTCAACGGACCCTTACCGTGGATGCCAGCATACGAGCTTCTTGGTGACAATTTTTCCGTAAGCGAACAAATAGTTCGGAATGATATGCTTTCTGTAGAACGACGATCTCGACCCCAAGTCACCGACTCATCTCGCTTGGGAACAGGTAAATTTAAATTCACAGTGGACTCGATTGACGACCAATTCAATGTTTCTCTAAAAAAGTTATCTTTATTAATGAAGTGCTTTAACATTATTTATTAATGAATCTTATTTATAATTAATCTTTATTGATGAAGTGCAATATCAAACCCGACAGTCTCTTTCTAAAAGATTCAATTTCACTTCTTTTAAAAGTGAATATATTACGATGAGTATAAATGTATCTAATGTTCCGTGTAACCCTCAGATTCTACCTACCTCGGACAGGACAACCCTCTGCTGCTGCAGCAACTTCTCACCGTAGTCACATCCTGCAACTTTAAGTTATATCAGTTTCCCTTCGATGTGCAGCACTGCTCCATAGTAATTGATTTGGATTACCATCGCAATAATTTTCATTATATTTGTATGCCGTCTTACTAATGTTTGATTAGTAGCCACTAACTGATAAGTTAATTACCACTGATTGTTGGTAAGTTAATACCATCATTTAGGTAATTTACCAATGAGTAATCCAATCCCTGAAACAGTACGTTTCACAAAGAAGAATTTCGTTTGCTGGGAATAATTGATATGTTTTTTCTTTAACGCATAAATCTTAATCATGCGTCATGCACTCCTAATGCAACAAAATAAGCAGTACAATAATGCTGTGATAGAAGTAAAATACAGTAATAACTTGAGTTGAGCAAATTTCACCTGGCAAAGAAAAATGCTCCAGAACATTGAACAGTCAAACTTGTTAACATAATAAGCTCTATTTGTTGGCTCTATTCAAGGTATTATCTCTTTGAATTTGTACTTTAAATAAATATGTCCGGATAATAAATATTACCTCATACCTGTTACCTCAACGAAGTAACATTTATCGCAGTACGTACGCCTGCGCCTACTGGCTGGTCATGGCGTGCTGGTGCCCAAGCCTGGAACTGATCTCGTCAGTTACTCGGACGTTAATCTCTCTCTGCACTACATCGTCCAAAACGTTACAGCTTCCATGGAGCTCGTTACCGACAACACGAAAGTAAGCTCAATGTGGACAGCACTATAGTAAACTCCTCTTACCAAATTTCAAACCTGCATATATGTTCATTTTACACGATTTTTGGAGGTCTACCAACACAAATATTTTTCATTTAGATTCAGAATAAAACCGATAGATTCAGGTGCTCAATTACGAAGCCATAGCAGGTCGTCAGCTGCATGTGTGGACGAAAAATATTCAAGCAAAATGGAAAATGCTGTACCACCCGGGAATTGAGCCGTAATATGAATTGAATAAAAAATTCTATTCGGGCCTCTGACTCTTCTATTCTTTACAAACGATAACTCTAGCTAATGCGCATAACTAAGAATATCATCTATTTTTACTTTTTCCCGGAATTTTGTTCCGCCTTAAGTTTTCAAATTTTAGAGTAGCGATCTATAATTTTCTGTTATTCTTATTTTAGCGCCACATCAAATTTTCTTTCGGGCATGAAATACTGAAAGATGAAATTGGCACTAATAATTGCTTAACTTCTTTCGAAATCATTGGTCTGCAGCAGGTTAGCCCGGTGTTTCCCTGGCTAAATAATTAATCACATTGCAAATAAATATCCAGTTTCCCTGAAATCGTCATCCCTGTTATCCCCAATCCCATTTATAATAACAAATATTATGCAATATTCATATGAAAAAACATCCCAACTCACATTTTAGATTGAACATGAAACTTCCATTTGGCTCACATTTTTAAATATGAAAATATATTATGCGCTATTGACTTGTGCTTTTAAAAATAAATTAATAAATACACTGTTCGAAAAATTACTGTTAGACGATATTATCGGTATTTCAGTGACCTGCCGGGACATAAAAAAAGTATTACCGTTTTAGTTCCAATTTAACACTAGAAACCCATTCAACATTTGAATAAAAACGGCGAAACGGTGTATTTTCACGGGGCGGCCGGTCACTAGTTACTACGTTTCACCGGTCGACCCGTAATACCGTTTTTCACGTTTTTTTCGAACAGTGTGCCAATTTAAACAAATTTACATAATTGTTTAAATACTTTCGTCCCTGTTTTGAAATGCCTACCATCAATGCCGCATAAGTCGCCAATTAGCATGTGCTGAACTTAACTCGGCTCTCGTCACTAGAAACCGTATAATACTAGTCTATATAATATCTAAGAAGCTTTTTCGTTTGCGCTCGAAAGAAGTGGCTCGGTTTGTTTACAAAATATAAATCGTTTCTTTTGAAGCCGGCAACATAAGTGCTGTGGTGTAGTAGGCGGCCCAGATGGTAGCGATTCTCTCACTATGAATAAATTTTCAGTTACAGATAATATGTATACACAATACGCAACCCAGCCCCTATATATTTACGGCTTTAAACACACACAACTTGAAACAAATATATAATATTATCATGACTCACAGGAAAAGGTTCAAGTGATCAAAGTGACGGTGGTTTTGAAGAACCGTTACGTTTTCTTCCTGCTGAACATCTACTTGCCCTCCCTGATACTCCTCTTCATTGGCTACCTGAGCTTATTTTTCCCACTACGCGACTTCAACGAACGCATCATGGTGACCCTCACCGCGCTCCTCGTCGAGACCACATTCTTCACACAGGTAATGGCTTATGCTCGAGAGATTCAATTGTAAGTTAAACTTTTGCTGGAACTAAAAAATTTGTCAATAACTGAACTGTTCGTAACATTACCCAAGCAGAGTTATTCAATTCTCAAATTTTAGTTGTATTGACCCGAATATTGAAGAGGCTTGGCGCATGCGCTATTGGGGCAATGAGCGCATCGACAAAGCGAATGATCTCTGTTAGACAAGTAGTGTGCTTATCGTCATAATTTCAACAAGTCGGTAATTAAACGATAACATGTCTTCTGTTTATCGTTTGTCGTCATAAGCATGGCTCTAAAGTTTTAGTGTGAAGCGTCGATCTGAAGTTTTAATATAAAGCATGGCTCTGTAGGATTATTATAAAACATGGCTCTGAAGCATGAGTGAGAAGCATGAGTGTGAAGCATGGCTCTAAAGCAGGAACGTGAAGCATGGCTCTGAAGCACGAGTGTGAAGCATGAGTGTGAAGCATATAAATATTATTATTATTATTCGACAAAGCAATTATCAGGTGTTTCACACAAATTACTAGCAAGCAAAAAATGAACAGACATGAGAAGGAGTGAGAACGGATAAAATGACTAAGCACTAGATTCAAAGGCTCTACGTAATAGTTCGGTCTTTAAGCGTCAACGAAACACCTGCAACGAAGGAGCCGATGTTTCGAAGCCTGCAGACTGTTCCATGTTCTTTATTACCGATAATCAGGAATTAAACTACATATAAGCTCTATGATTTCTCTAAATTTTATTTCAAGTGGCATGAATGAGATCAAACCGAAAATCCTCTTGATACACAGAAAAAAACTAAGGATATAATACTCAACCAGTTCCTCAATACAAGACCCATGCCTTCTGAGATTACTCGGTCTATTCTCTAATCAAGGCGACATGTTTATTTTGTGATACAAAGAAAAACTAAATATGCTTTAAAACAAGCGTGCATCTTCTACGTTTAGGTGAGCGACTATGCTCCACGCACATCCTTCCTAAAGACAATTGACATCTGGTGCATCTTCTGCATCGTGCTGCTCTTCAGCATCATTGTTGCTGTGACTATCATCAACTTCTATCAGGTATGCTGCTCCCTTCAGCATCATTGTTGCTGTGACAATCATCAACTTCTATCAGGTATGCTCTCTTCAGCATTATTATAGCTGTGACAATCATCAAGTTCTATCAGGTATGCTTTCTTTAGCATTATTATAGCTGTTACAATCATCAACTTCTCTCAGGTATGCTGCTCTTCAGCATCATTGTAGCTGTGACTATCATCAACTTCTATCAGGTATGCTCTCTTCAGCATTATTATAGCTGTGGCTTCAGCATTATTATAGCTGTGTATAGCATGAGCATTATTATAGCTGTAAATATCATCAACTTCTGTCAGAAATGCTCACTTCCCCATTATTATAGATGTGACAATCAAGTTCTATCAGGTAGCTCTCTTCAGCATTATTGTAACTGTGACAATCATCAACTTCTATCAGGTATGCTCCAGCATTATTATAGATTTGTCACTCATCGACGTTTATCAGTTATGCTGTCTTCAGCATCTTTGTTAATGTGACTGTACTCTTCTCTCATGAAAGAATGATTGAAAAATAATCTAATGTATGTCACCAGAATGTAGAAGTTTCGTTGTTAGTTTGAAAGTTGCATCTTCTCTTGGGTGTAGTGGTAACCCACAGGTTTATTGATCAGTAACACATGGTCACATTAAAATACTTCATTCCACATACCAACCACATTAGGATTTTTTCATTCAAAGGGAACGTAATAACGGTTAACTTTGTAGGTTTTATAGATGGACCACAATTTAACCGCCTGTTCACAGGGTTTCACCTCTCATGACACGTAACGCTGGTCTCAAGTTCCACGTTCCTCCTGCTACTTTCTTCCTAGCCGCATTCCCTGACCTCGGTCCTAACATTCCTTCAAGGCTTCAATCCCAACTCTCTAATAAATAATAAATAAATATCCAACGCATACATTTGATAGACACCTAATTTTAGAACAAAACAACAAATTTTAAATCATGACCTCTACAACTTGTGCACCGAAAAGTTATCTTCAGAATATTATACACGTATGCTAACAATTAGTATCGTGAGCAGTATGCTAATCGCTTAATTTACGACAAGAAATATATAATTTTGAAATAGTTCTAGTAAATCTAAAGCACTTAAATAATTTAAAGACATTCAATGCAATAAATATCATCTGCAATATACAGTAATTAAACAATTAAGATTCAACATATTTTATGAGCTGTTTATTGAAAAGTATCTCTTATATTTATTAAATTTTACAAAAAAAAGCGAGCTTAAGAAAGTGAAAGCTTTGACGAAGTTGAATTTGAGGAATCTTTAGTAGCGAATCTGCGTCCAACGTGGGCTTGATCAGAGTCAACATTCAACGCAGTCCAAATTGCCAAAGAAATTCTAAAACCCAATATCGATGTTTATCAAAAATTCAGCTACAAATAATCAACCATCGAAGCTTACATGACTATTGCAATACACAATAAGTTGCCACCAATATTCTTATCTCTAGCAAAGACTCCTTTTATTGATACGTAATTAACATACAGAAATAAATATTTTTCGTTGATTCTCATTTACCAATGACATTTATCTCTTTTTTTGACCGCAGGAAGTTTCTTGCAAACATGAGGCCCTGACCGGTCGCACCTCGTCAAAGGAAACCAATAATTTTCCAGTAGGAAATCTTGAACGTGAACTGGAAACGGGCCCGGAGACGAACGTACGGAAAATAATGCCATATGACGAAGCGGTGACGGGTGAAGTATGGAAAATCTCGAAAATCTCTCCAATAACCAGGATATCTTCAGAGCAAGTCTCGGTCACACGGAATCCATTAAGAAGCGTGTACATGGTAGCGAAGGCATTAATTGTGGGCAATTATTCGCGTAGCACATCCGACAAATTAAATAGATTCTTTTTGTATTTGTTCCCTTTGGTTATGTGCATATTTATAGCTTGGTACACTTTGAATATTGTCAACGCAGGGCATTTTTCATTTCTAGATTAAAAAATCATGTAATTTTTTTCCCTTAAATTGGTCAAAGACATCATTTATCACTTCCCCAAATGGAATATAAATACGATATATACGAATAGCAATCGTCCTGAATTCTCTGATAAACTGATGTCATCACATAATTTGCTTGAAACGCGTTTACCACGGCATGAATGGTATTTGAAGGCGTAAAATAAGGCACAAAAAAAACTTCAATTGAAAGCTTCTTAAAGCTGAAGTGTCCTTAAATACTGTAAGACATTCAAAATAGGAACAGATAGCTACATTATCAACATTGAATGAAGTTGGTATTTGAGCAACTTTGAAGCTTACTTGGAACCAAAAGACAATGAATTTTATCAACCTTTTTGAGTTTTCTCCTCCACCTCTTAAAGCATTTCTATTCACTTCACGTTGAGAATTCACCTACAATAATTGTCTGCTAAAAACCGTAAGTTGAACTCACATTCAACTTACGGTTTGAACTATACCTCGTATAACTGCCGCTATTACAACTTATAGCTTGTTATTTTGACCAGTCTTGACATCAGAGTCTGTCCAGCAGGGGCCATACTTTCAAAAAAAGTTAAGAGATCGTAAGTTCATCAGCCAATCATTGACGGCATTTCAAGCAAAATCCACCAATCATTGACTAGAAAATAGAGCGTAAGTACTTACGTTCACTTAGCGAGTTTTGAAAGTATGGCTCCAGCTGGTAAATAATGCCACGTCGGGGGAAACTTCACGTACTGAAAGAAGCATTCTGTCAACGCAATGAACAGAAGATTGAACCTTTAATAATCAATCAATTTAATATTATGTGATTGACAAATGATGATTTTTTTTTTGTATAAATTATGCTTATTTCGGAAAAATTGAAACGAAACTCAGTGCACGCTTAGAACAATATTGGTTATGTTCGCGCATACGCTGTGCTTCAAATGAAGTCACTAGAGCAGTCATTTTTCCAGACGTCTAACACCAATTTCACTTTATTGTGTTCTCTTGAATGTTCTTCGATATTTGGAATTGTAAGAAGTTTAAGGGCAATTATTTGGATTCGATAAACTTAAAGCATGAAGAATGAATTGCATTAGCTAGATCATTAATTAAAAACTTATCGTGAAGACTTATTGAAACACGTGTATTTGTATACGTAATTGCAGACAAATGTACCGTAATAATCTTTCCACGCTTCAATTGCGAAGCAGTTTTCCGACTTGTGCGCAGAGACTTAAGTCTAATGCGCTTTAATTCGGTTTATTTTCATCACAGGTGAGTAGTTTTGTTCAATATCATGCAGGAGCGTATACAATCATATTTCATTTAGCTAAGCGTGGATCGAATTCAATGCCAATATTGTAGGACAGAACGGATCTACTTTATGACGTCATTTTGTTTTAGTTTATTCACTGTAATCTTCGCAGTCTATAATAAAGCACATTTCACATTATTATCGTTTCATCTCCTAACTAAATTTAAGAAAAAAAAATAATCGCATTAATTTGCATCTTTGGCTCTACAACAATATAATTATGCTGCCAGAAATCCGTCGCTAGTCATTAATAACAGTCCGTTTAGTTGGAAAATAGTGGAATGCCTGGTACGGATAACTATATTGCGGTTTGCTATTTCCAGAATTACTTGCGATGAAAATTTCTTTGATAGGGAGGAACGGAAAAAGGTCAAGGAAATTTTTGTTTGTAATTAAAGCTTTGACCACCGTGCAGTCTGGAATCAAGCATTCACTCTTTTTGGATGCTAAATTCGTGCAGTAATTGCTGCATTACTTAGCAGAAATCACTTAAATTTTGTCTCAGGGGACTTGAAGTTTGAGGAAGCAACATAAGCTCCTTATTTCTGGTTTCAGGCAATAAAAGAAAATAACCATGTTTACTCTGGAGAATACGATTTTTTATATTGTTTTCAGTTCTTGATTATCCAAGAAGTTATGTACAATACTTGCATTAAAAAATGCCTTCATTAACTACACAAACAACGAGCACAATATCAAGCAGGCACCACACAACGATATGTATACCTTATTCCTCATACCGCAACGTACACAACGTCTCACGTCGCATAATTAGAGTCATAATTATACGACAAAAACTTGAACATTAATTGGCTATGTTCCATCCGGCCCGCCGAAGATATCTCGTAGTTCAACATAATGTGCACAAAAATCGAGCGTGGCATTTATTTTTGACCACGCATGAACTAAAAACAGTAAATATGCGTGACCGGCCTGTGAACGCTTCAGAAAGCTTGCTCTTGGCCCTTGGTGAAAAAAGTTTGAAGGCTCCTAGGCTATAGGATGGCAATAATTGTATACTCAGCACCAGAGAACCCACCTCTACACAGCAATAATTACCACAGGTCAACATTTTTGCTACCTGCCCCGCCTGATATTCAGAAGAAAAATGTGCAAGTCATTCTAAATAGGATTTCAATGGCCGATATGATTATTATACGAAAAATAGGGACATGTATTGCAAAATGGATGCATGTGAGTAGAACATGAATAACTATTACACAAAATATGCACATGGGTAGAAGATGAATAAATATTGCAAACAGGATGCTCGTGAGTAGAGTAGGAACTGATATTGAAGATACGATGCACATATAAACAATAAGAATTTAATGATCGCTAAATTCAGACATGCACGCATGCTTGTTTCGTGCTTAGTTAAGACATGCATGAAGATTTTAACGTGCAACTGGAAAATTTATTATGAATGAAAAATTGCGATTCGGAAATTATTTTGCGAAAAATGTGCTCTGTGATTTCAATGTTAAATATCGCGCTGTCTAAACGTTACAGTGCGAAACATAATCGCATGCAGTGATCAGGGAACAAGCAGATAGCTTATTAGTTAATATCCTCAACGTGCGACGATCGAAATAATGCCAAAAAAACAATGTGTTTGAGCAATTGAAAACCAAGTTGTGAATATAACGCTAACTACGCGGACTTTTTAATTAGTATTATCAATAATTACTTATTAATACAATTATTTAGGATCTGCAG